CTTCTTTTTTTAAGCACTTGTACTTTTACTTCCACCTTGGTAGGTTAAGGAGGAGTTGCAAGGACGTGCGGGAACATCATACACCTTGTCATGGTCTTCTTTGTGTGTGTTTGTGATGTTTGGGGGAAGGCTGCCGTCTTCCCCCAAATACAATGCCCCCTCATCATGATCGTATCGGACTGGCAAGATAGCTTGTATACGTCCATGATCGGGTGCGTTTTGTTTGGGGGAAGGTGGTAGACCTCGGCGCTTGTAGTGCAGCGTGCTGTCTCCAGTGGACCGGGGTGTTACAGAACAGCACAGAAAACACCTCCGCAATTGGTGCAGTAAAGGTGGTGTGAAGTATAGCATCTTCTTCTTCTTTTTTAAAAAAAAGTAATTGCTGTTTTGTATATCAAAACCATGATGCTGGGAATCCCTCAACATCTCAACCCAAAAAATGCTAAAGTCATTACCCAGTTTAGGCTGAAGCTGGAAAATGGGTCCAGCATCCCATAGCCTGCAACCTTCTGAAGAAAAGTAGAAACTGGACTGAAAAATCTACCGAAGTCCCGGCTGGAAATCGGGTCCAGCGTCCCATACCTCTACCGCCTACCTTTTTTTTTTTGTTTTTTTGTTAACCATCCTCGACCCACTAGCGGGGATGATGAGAGAACCCCCCTCTAGTGTGCCCTAACTGGCTGCTCCAATTTATTGTGTGGGGAGCAGCGCCTGCTGGAAACCGGGTCCAGCGTCCCATACAGCAGGTGCATCCCAAAGGCTGAAAGCTGGAAACCAGGTCCAGCGTCCAATCGTGTGAAATACCACACTGAAACCATGTGGAAAACAGAGCTTCGGTAGGAAGAAAAAAGGACAGGTTGTGATGACACACTGTTGCGCTAGACTCCCTCTGACTTGTCAGGAGGCTGGGCTCCTGACAGTCTGCAGAATATCGATATTGATATATTGATGCGCTGAGTCATAGTCTAGTTCAACCCTTGTTGCAAGCGAAGAGCCAGGCAGGTGACCACACAAGCGGCATAGCAAAGCAGGCAGCAGAGAAAGCAAAGGGTGGGTGGTCGAGGGGTGGGCCAGCGGGGGCGAGGTACGAAGGCAAACCACACGCTTACCAAGCGACTGCCAGGTACACAGCGCAGCAAGCACGGGCGTTTGGTGGCAATGAGGCACGCGGGAAGCCAACTAAGCAAGCATCTAGAAGGCACGCAAACGGGCAGAGATGGGCGACGGGGGGGGGAAACAAGCAGGAAAGGAGCAAAACCAAGCGGCAGGCAGCAAGGCAATGCATCGCAAACGGAAACGGCACGAAGCAGCAGGGCATCAGCAACAGGCCAGTCCACACATACAACACAGAGCAGAGCAGTCCACCATGCATCCTCCACCTGATACGTAGAACTTCCCAGACTGTAGGTTCATGTCATCATCGAGAGCCAGGAAGCCAAAAGACGAATGCCTGTCACCACCAGTGAGCATAGATACACGGGCATCCTTTTTTTCTTTTCTTTTCGATGGACCATGGATCAAATATTAAACTGACCAGAAGAGATACAATGCACTTGACCTTAGCAAAAAGGCGTAAAGGGTATATCCTGAACATGACAAGTGAGCACAGGTACACGGGCATCCTGAACATGACAGCCCAACCAATTATCTTACAGGTACTCCTAACAAGCAGGCACTGCCAATTTGGCACATCTTACAGGTGGTGCAGCACTTGGACACAGAAGAACCCGCCAAAAGGGCAGAGCGCACACAAAGAAAATATGTTGAACGAGGGGTAAATACTGTCTCTTATACACATCTAGATGTGTATAAGAGACAGGGCGTAGGCTGTGCGTTCGCTGCTCGGCCTCAGT